CCCAGAGAACAGACCAACTCGGTAAATAAGTGTTATTAACCCCAGGTTCATTTTGTGCCGGAATTGTCCTTTAAGATTGTTTGTTTTGCAGTGCCCTTTTGCCCTCTTACTTGCATGCGTCACTGATGCAAAAATATACTGTCTGTCTATATCTTTGCACAGATTTCACCACACAATGATTTAAATAAAAAAAACAATAGAAATAAAAATGTTGTCACTCAGTTCCCAGCTTTAGTAACATCTAACGTTCTTATATATTTGGGGAAAACCCTGCAGATGTGGGTACGGACCTTTTTCTCTTCATTACATCCACAATCTGGAAGTGTCACAGGGCTACACCATCAAACTGCATTGTGGATAATTGCCTGAAACCAAAAATAGGCCAGCAGGCTTGTTGCTAAGCTATGACTCAATGGTGCAAGCCATTATCAGCAGCAAGCACACAGCAATACAGGCCTGTGTTGTCAAGATCTAACTCAACTGTGACATGGACACACCCTAAAATAGGAATAGTAATAAGACAGAAGCAGGACTGCTGATACAAAATATGGAGAATTCTGAGCATTCTGATAATATTTCCTTCCCCTCCTACATCCTGGTGTAAACAATGCTCTCCATCAGCATCCCTCAGCCTACTCACAGTGTGCACTATTCACCAAATGACTGACAGCTCTGACCTTCTCACCCTGAAACACCTCTAGACCATGATGAATTCCTTTGTGAGTAACTTGTCTAAATCATATTAGCTTTCATTGTAATATGTTGATATATAAAGTTAGAATGGATCAGACTGTCTTTACAGTAGCGATCTGTCCTGTCTGCAAACGCAACACAGCTACTCTCCCCTCAGGCTGGAATACAGTGGACTCTAATCCAATCTTCAGGCCACCAACCAAATCAATATGGAGAGGAACAAAAAAAAGGGTGTTTTGACCTTAAAGGCTTTAAGTTAAATTGATGAGGGAAATGTGGTGATTTTAGGACATTTTTGGTGTCAGGAAAGTAGAACAGGAAATCAAGTAGTAGGACTGAAGAAGTAGGAGTTTGAAACAGTAAAACACTTTACTGTTTTGATTCATTTTCATTGTACTTCCCATCTCCAGCCAGCTGTCATCATTGAACAAGCTCTAAATACCCACTGTACGTTACCTGCTCAGCACCAAACTGCAGGAACAACCAACTAGCAGCTAGCTGGTGAACATAGTGGAGCATTCAGCAGCCAAAGAGCCAGATATTTACTTTTGGAGTTGGTAGACACAAAAACAGGAAGAAGAGTTAATACTGGACTTTCGCCAGGTTGGCAGACACATAACAACTACTAACGTTAGGCTACTCCGTGTCAGCTGGAGGTGTAAATAGACAGCTCCTTGTTAATAAGGTTGCCAAACCAACTTTATAAGTTGATTATATGTCAGTGTTGCGTTTACAGATTGTTCCACTGACTCCAAGAGGCAAAATAATAATAATAAATCACTGCTGATTTAATATTTTATTAATACTCATAGTATGCTAGTTACATTGTACATACAGTATATAGTGCCGTTTTTGACCAAAAACATATTATGTCAGTTTGATAATAATACTTGACATAACAAATACAACCAACAGACAATTAGATGTGTATGTCTGTTTCAATTTAAAGCTAAGACAAAATACATATAATGTTGCCAATGTAATAAACAGTATTTCCTGTGGTGGTATTGAACTGTTTCTGTAGAAAATTGGTCCTTAACCTCTGACCCTTCTCTAATAGATGCACACGCAGTAATTGCTCACACTAAACACACACACATACATAATGAAGGTATACGACACAAGACTAAGAATAATATTAAGCATGTATAGGATGTATTACTATTGCAAAAAGACAACTACTCAAAACCTCTACATGCTTACACACATATTGCACACAACCAATGACACATGAAAAGTCATTACTCGTGTATACACACACACAGAGTGTCTTAGCCATCCTCCAGTGCACACACACAGATACACACACAGACGTATACATGCATTAGTCATTGTGCAGGGTGTGTATCTCCTAGGGCTCGTTTAATCAGAACAGTGTGTGATATGTTGCAGCAAGGGCGACAAACAGAGTTAATTATTTAACCACACACAATAATATACATACACACAAACACATAACCC